TACGCCAACAGACTGCTTTGAATGCGTTTGTTTATATATTTTGTTGCGTTTGCTCATGCGGACATGTGCGAAGTAGTAATGTATGTATTTAATACTTGGTAATGTTGATGTAACACTGTGTAAGAACTGCATAAAATTATGTTTTTTTTGGGGGGGGGGACATGAATGACTTTGTTTTATCCCCTTTTCTTGCATCCAAATATAACAAATTTGTTTACCTTCAATCACGTATTTTCTTTCTTATATCATGTTTCTGGCATTTATTCCAAATATTAATAATTTGTTAAGTATTAAGAAAATAGCAATTATATAGCAATTAAATTTCAAAACTTTAATAGTTTTAAGTTTCTTTTTAAAAATAATGAACATTATTTAAATTTTACCTTCTAAAATTATTTAAAATAAGTGTGCGACTACATTGTGCAACGTGCATAATATATATATATATATATATATATATATATATTTGCTAGTAAAAGGAAGTCTTAATTTACCACTTTTCAGTTTCATAATTTCATTATTTACCACTCTCTCTTCCTTTTAACTTATATCTGCTATATTGACATTCATTTTTAGTTCAATTAATCTAATATCTTTCTCACTTTGATTCGCCTACTCCGTAGTTCTCTGTAATACACCGTATTAACATTAAATTTCCTTTTCGTATTAATATTAAATAAATTAATTAATTATTTCCTTTTTGTACTATTTTCTGTTTTCACTCATTTTTCTTATGTTATCTATATTTTTTTTTTATTCTGTCCTAAGTACTAAAAAACCTTCTTTTTATTTATTTATTTTACTTATTTATTTTTTAGTTTGTTATTAGTTTATTATTTATTATTTAGTTTATTATTTAGTTATTAGTTTATTATTTAGTTTGTTCTCTCCAGTTTTTTTTATTTTATTTTAAATTTTGTAGACGCCGAGGAACATATTACAAAATATTATTCTACAGCATGAAAATTATTTAAATTTTAAAATAAAGTGTCCAATTTTAGGGAAATTAATTAATTTTGGCTGGTTTGTTTATCGATCTAACCTCTTCTGCAAATTCAACAGCAGCTTCTGCGAAATGACATCTTTCCAAGTTCGCATTTCGAACTAAGAGAAAAGAGAGGAAAAAATCGCCAGCCATGGTGATAGTACGCCAAAGTCTGGGTTCAGTTCTATTTCATGGCCAAACTCCTGCAGCTCATTCCTGTGCCGCTTTTTCACCCGGTTTTGAATGGCGATACTCCGTCTAGTATATAACAGGTCTATGGGAAAACCACGAAAACGCCCATGCAGCCAGCCCGTTCGCGGGATTCGAACCTCGGACCGAACTATCAGTGTTCAGCGACTTTACCGCTCGGCCGCTGGTGGGCGCTATTTGTACAGGTAAGGAAATTAATGCTTTCGTTCCAAAAATTCGATAGTGAGTTTTCAGGGAGTAAGTACAAATTACAGTTCCCCCCCAACACGTTTTTTACAATTTTTGCAATGATATCTGTTTGTATGCCTGTGTGTGAAGATTTTTTTCGTCCAAGGTAACTCTTATATCAAACTTCCAAAAATTTCTGGTTTTCGTATTTCAGCTTTCTGCATTCTTGTAAAGAGTTGATTATGTTTTGAGTAAAATTGGACAACCGGAAGTGGTACTTTACTTGAAACCATAACAGTTTTTAACGGACAGTCGGAAGTGGTAATTTTCTTCACGCCTATAATAAATTTTAAATGAAAAGCTACATTGAAATATAATGCAAAGCTTTTCAGCTTTAATATTTAACACTTTTATATCAACGGGAACAACATAATAGATCTCGGCTACAATTGATAAACCGAAAGTGATACTTTATTTGAAGTTTTGAAATTTTCGTGAAAAACATGCTGCGTTACAATCCAAAACTTAGTGATCATTCTTGAAGTATTTCACAGTAATAACGAGCCTTTTTTACTGATGTTTAAATGTCACGGGAATATAAGTGTATGAATTTAGATTTGTTAATAAATTATGGTATTCGTTTCAAAGTATTTATTTTAAATATACAGTTAATTTTCTTTAATTAAAATCCAGTTCAATTAGATTTTATTTAACTGCTTAGTAAAATAAATCTTTTAATAAAAAGGAAGCAAACATTTGATCATTTTGATGCTAATTTAGAAAATCAGTTTTTACACATAAACAATTATACCTAATGACCAATCATACTTTTGTATTGCACGCCAACAGCAAATTAAGATTTTGCTTTCGAACAATCAAGCTGAAGTAAGGCTTTACTTGAAGCTCTTTGCTATTTAAAACGTGGAATTGGCAGGAGGTCATGCGCTTGCCACATCAGATTTTTTTTCTGTTAGATTTCGTATTTTTAATGTAGAAAATACTGATTACACAAGCGAATCGATGGACACTGACGCGCAGTTTAAAACCTACATTCAGTACGAAAACTTAGGTTAGAAAATAATGGCTTTTAACATAGGATCATGAGTGTGTGTGAGGACAGGGGTGGGCAGTAAGTCGATCGTGATCGACCCGTGGACCACCAAGACATTTGGGTAGGTAGGTAGGTAGGTGATGGAAGACGGGGACGCCTGGTGGCTACCAGAGATAAACAGGGACGGGGTGACTGCCTTTACTAGGATCTAAGATGCGCATAATAAATGAAACAAATTTATGAAACATCGACGCCAGCTAGACTGTAGAATCGGCTTTTCACAATCGATGCGACTACGTTTACTTAATCAAATGACTCAATGAATGTGTAGACGACACATGTACCTTCACTGGAAGCGCACGATAACTGAAAATATAAATTACATATTCTCTTTATCTCCCGAGGAAAACGAAGTACTTTTCTCTTTTAGAATTACAAAAGTTTAAAAGCACGTAGTTCAGAATCTAAGAATAACCTTTGGAATTTAATGGACGAAGTAAAGCATCCTAATTTTAACAAAAGCTGCATTTCATTTAACATTGTTCTTTGGCTCTACCCTGCCTGTGTAAATCTGCATTTTCAACGATGAATGTAATTAAGAGTGTGGAGTCATTAGGTTATTTCGAAGCACGAGAGAAGAAAAATAAGCAATGCACTCGCCGGGACTCGAACCACGGACCTCTCGAAGACGCGTCGAGCGTGCTGACCACTACACCACGAAAGAACGCTAAGAAGACGAGAGAAATACCTTATAAGACAACATTCCCGTCTCACATACGACCACTTAGAATCCAGTGCAAGTTTACCAGTTAGTAATTATATACCGAGATATTCAAGATTGGCGGAGAGTATGCGGATTAAGCTTTCTACTATCTTTAACTACAAGAACTAACTATAGATGGAAATGATTTATTTTTTAATGTATTTTGAATTTGACAAAGAAAATTTTTTATTTTGACATTAAAATTTTAAAGAAATGCATCATTTGAAATTGTATTATATTTGTGGCTATTATTATTATGTTTGTATCTTGCGATTTTATTTAAACACAGTTTTATAAGTGTAAGCTCTTTTAAGGTGGGATTAGGTAGGTAAGCACATATTCCTTATTTACTAATACAGAGGCTGTTCGCACATTTTTTTAGACGATTTTGGTAAGCGGTAATAAAAACTAGTTTGCTGCAAAAGAAGTAATTGCAATTGTACTATGGTTTTAAAAGTCAAAATGATCGTCTATGGCTTGAAGGTTTTGTTTTTATTCAAAATGGCGAATTTAACAAAGCAGTGGTTCGAAAGCTACATTTACGCTCCTTCCGAAGAGAAATATGCATACTCCGTTATCCAAAATCGATGTGAGAGTCATGATTTTGTGTTATCTAAAGCGTCGATAGGTAATATCATCAACAAGAAAGGAAACCAACGTCAAATTGGAGCCTCAAGTGGGACAAAAATTTCAAACGAGTATCCAAGGAAAAAACGGACATCTTCGACTATTGCAAAGGTACGTTGTTTAATGTTTAAAAGAAATCCCCCTAGTCAAAGGACAGTTGCAAAATCATTAAAATGCTCGGTGTCCACTGTAAACAAATGATAAACGTGATTTAAATCTTAAGAAAGCGAAAAACGCAATGTGCATCGTCTTCTTCCAAAGCATATCGCTCAACGCAGGACAGCTGCAGAATTATATGAGAAACACTTATCCAAAGAAAAATGGAAAACAATTGTCCAATAGATGAAGCATGGTGTATTAAATGATTGTAAAAAAAAAAAAAAAAAAAAAAAAAAAAAAAAAAAAAAAAAAAGGTCATTTATTATCATAAAAGGGGAGAAGAAATTTAAGTACATGGTTCAAAGAATCGAAAGAAAGTTTTTCTAGGGATTCATGATTGTTGCTGTTTTTTCTTATAATGGCAAGTTAAAAATAAAGAGAGTGCAAAAAATCTCAAGATTAACTCCCAATACATCGGGAACATTTTATAGCCAATTTTCTGAATGAAATACCATCGCTTCCCACAGTGCCATATATGGTGAGACTCCATCAGGACAAAGCTAGCAGTCACACATCAAATCCACTGTAATTTCCTAAAAGCATACCCTTCAATGATTCCCAACTGAATCTCCCGAGTGTGTCACCTATGGATTTTTGTGCTTTCGGACTTTTAAAAACGCATTATCCAAACGTGTCCCAAAACCCTAACAGGACTCTGGAAAGCTGTTGGGAGGAATGGGATAGAATACCTCTTGCCACTATAAAAGGCATTATTATCCTGGAAATTGCGGTGTCGAAAGATAGTTCAGAATATGGGATGTCAAATAGAACATTTAAAACAAAAGAATTTTATGTAATTTAGTTTTGTGAATACAATATACATCGTCTAAAAAATGCGTGAACAGCCTCTGTAAGTTATTATAATAAAAATTGTAGACCTTTTTTTAGCTCACCAAACCTATGCCACCGGGTGGACCGCAACACCTTGAATAAATTAGAAGTAGCCCGTACCGTGAAAAAGTTTGCCCACCCCTGATGTAGGATGATTACAATTGCTCATGATAAAAGGTAAATTAAAGAGGATGAAATTGACTTACTGTGAAGGAGAAGCAGCGGTAGGAGGCCAGATGCAGGCACAGAGTGGAACTGTCCAACTCACTGTGTTTTTAGGATGAAACAGCCAACACGAAATTCTGAAATACTGTAAAAAAAAAATCATTATTAGTAAAAAATAACCAATGAAAAGACTTATTCGGCTTATCACGTGCAAAAACTTTCATACATATACAAAAAGATGGGGTTGCAAGTGGGAAAAAAAAAAATATGACTGGGAACTATTCGAAACATGGACGAGATATCTTCGAATGTCACACACGTTCCATGGACACTTTCTCCCGCGGTAAAAATAACCGGATTTTTAATCCGAACAGGACGGGGAGTAGAAAACGTGAGGTCGTCACACCAAGTTGAGCAATGGGTTCTGGTGGGATTACGGGATTCTTATCAGAAACAGTGGTACATTCGTGACCTACTGTTTAATCTTCAGCTTTCACACACACATAAACACCGAGGAAGAGTAAAGGTCATTTTTAAATAATAAAGAGAAGTTGTTTGCAGGAACAATCGTAATTCACTTCAAAGGAAAGTTTCATTTGGTGATAAAATGGTATGATTTAGAATTTCCTGGATTAATGCTACGGTGTCTAGAATCCTTTGACAGCACCACCTTTATCAGATGGCATCTCAAATGATATTTACGTGTTAATGTGGGAATATGAATATTCACCGTAATCCTTTTTATTCTTTAAAATTTAGACTCCAGAAAATTTTAAAGTAAAATGAATAAATAAAACAGCATAATTTTGCAGTAAAAATGAGTTAAATATTTAAAAAATAATATTTCATTTGATAATTATTTGAATAAGTACAGCTCGCCGTAATAATGCGAGCAGTGAAATGTTATTCCGCATTATAAGGTTATTTGCATAATAAATGATAACCAAAGGATGGCCACAAAATATTTAAACACATACGCATATATTTATTATAAAACTTCAAAAATTATATTTATTTATTTCAAACAGTAAAACTGCAAAATGCGATAAACTGTACTTATAAAGTACACACAGTTTGGTTTATTTATGGCAAAGCACACAAGGGTTGTTAGACTGAGGGGAAGGATGCCTTCTTGGTGGGCTTTCTAAGGGAAGCTGGTTCGTATACACGTTACACATGGGGAAAATCACAGAAACCATGCAGTCAGCTCATTCGCCTCCAGTCAAACCCAGGTCGTAACCACCAGTCTTCCGCTACAATACCGCTCTTGGGCTCAGATTACATAGGTTAGGTTAGGTTATTTAATTACGGCAAAGCCTCGAGGACTACCTGCCTAAGGGAGGGATGCCTTCGTGGAGGTCTTTCTAAGGGAAACTGGCTCATATACACGTTACACATGGAGAAAACCACGAAAACACCAATGCAGCCAGCCCGTTCGCGGGATTCGAACCTCGGACCGAACTACCAGTGTTCAGCGACTTTACCGCTCGGCCGCTTCTCAGATTACATACAGTAAACACTCAATAATTCGAAACTAGATAATTCGTAATTTCTTTTACTTTGAATAATTGTTGAGGTCCGAAAAATATTAGTTAAGGAAAAATTGTTAATAAATTTCGCTAATACTTTTCTGGGAATGAAAGAGAAGAAGAAAAAGGTATTTACCAAATTTTTTGCGTATTTAAGATTTAGTATTTTCGCCACGAATCATCTGGCCATGCTATACAGGTTTGAAGAAGGTTGCTATACAGGATCAGTATGCTGTCTGCATCCTTCTATTACATAACTACGGTTTGTAACTACGCGCTTCTCACAAGTAGTGATATCACGTCAACCTTGAGTAGTGAACATTTTTTCCGACGAAATTCCTTTTACTTCCTCGTACGAAGTAAAGGAAGCACTGTAATTCGCAAAAATTTTCGAGTATCGTATTTCAACGAAAATATCTATTTTAATCGTTATCGAATGCAATTTAATTTGCGTAACATCTGTACGTAAGAACAGAATAAATGACTTTTTTTTTCCCCCAAACGGGTTGAAAAATGGATTTAAAAGAGAATTATTTTCGTGACGTCTGTAGGCACGTATGTATATCTCGCATAACTCAAGTAGCCTCAGAATGTTCAAATTTTACATACACGACTCCTATAACATGTAGTTGTGTATCTCCCTTTTTGGTTGCAATCGGCCGCACCAAAAGTATACATATATATCTATTTGAATTTAACAAATACAAAAACATTATATCATTCATATAAAAGTAATTAAAATTTTAACTTATGAAAATTCAACTGTAAACAAATAAAAGATTAATCATTGCTACGAACTAATTTGCAATATCATTCAAATTCGGAAAGCATAAGTAAATTAAGTGCAAGCATCTTAATACAAGAAAACATATTTAATAATCCATAAACTAATCCTAAAAACTTTAAAGAATTTTTATGACTAAATTATGTTTCATAAAGTGAATAATTGTTAAGCAGGCCACGTGACAGATATTTTTAAGGGAAGGTTGCCTTCAAACCTAACTCTTCAATTAATCAATTCGTGTTTCGTCAACCAGATAGACCATGAGTAAAGAATTAAACAAAACCAAAAGCAGTGAATTGCTTAAATGAGAAATTTATACAGTACATACATATATATATATATGCACTCGGTTAAGATTAAGTTAAAAGTAAATTGGAGTCAAGTTTGGTTTTATTAGATTACGGCAAAGCACTCGAGGGCTATCTGCCTTAAGGGAGGGATGCCTTCGTGGAGGACTTTCTAAGGGAAACTGGCTCGTATACACGTTACACATGGGGAAAACCACGAAAACGCCCATGCAGCCAGCCCGTTCGCGGGATTCGAACCTCGGACCGAACTACCAGTGTTCAGCGACGTTACCGCTCGGCCGCTGGTGGGCAAAATTGGAGTCAAAGCAAGCAGTTATTCCTCAACAATATTAATATAGCAATCGTGTATCCCACTCTGATACTCGGCGGGATTAGCTCAGTTTTTTTTTAAAATTTTATGTGCTGGTAAAAATTGTGCTTTTTTGCTTTAAAAATGATTAACTTATTATTGTTCTTATCTTTAGGTTAAAGATTTCATGTATTTAGTTAATCTGCATGCAATAGTTGTAGAATTATCAACAATTTATAAGCCTAACTTTTTTACTATAGTAGCCATATTGTTTACATTTGAAAACTTAGCAGAACAGTGAATTAAATCAGCTTCTGCAGAGTCGGGGCAAAAGTAAATTTTAGTTCTGTGCTCCAAAAAAATCTCCTTCTTGCCCGCTGGCCGAATTGCTGTTTTTGCGTGGAAAACTTAATTGTAAAATCGTTTTTTTTTTAAAATTCTGTTAAACTGTATTTGGTGTTTTATGTTTTTCTATATTTTGAAATTTTTAATGAAGATATTTTGAGGTTCTTTATGCATTTTTGTCTTGCCGCGAAGTGTGAACTGAATTAATTGAATGAGAAGTATATTTCTAACGAAATTCGAGAAAATAAGTTTCAATGAAATGCATATTAATTATATGCATTTTTATCATTATATGCATTATAATATTCCGTACAAGGAAGCCATGTGGTATACGCATCAGATTTTTTTTCTTGCTGGGGGAGGAATGAAATTTACCTATTATAAATTACGTTTCGGAGATGGTAATACAAGCTTCAGCCTTCTGAAATAAAAACGTTTAAAATGTAAATTAAGAAACTTTCTCACACATTTGCAACACAAAATTTCTAAAATCATGGGATAAGGAAAAATTTGCTAAAGGAAAAAAAATCACAAGCATCTAAATCCAGCTTTATTACTGTGGACATAAGGATGAATAAGTAAGAAATTCACTCATCAGTTGACCTATACTGTCTGCAAAAGCAGATGAATTCACGCAGGCTTTATACACTTATGTTTTCTTTTCACTAAATCAGCTTTAAAACTGATTTAATAGCTTCCAACCTCTGCTTCAAAGTAACTCATAGATGATTAAGTTACTCCGCAAAAAAGTTTTGTGACGACAATTTATGTTGTTATTACACGCATAGTTCTGGACCATGTTTATATGAGATATATCCCCTTCGAGCCGGGTAGCGAAAACGCGCGCTTATCGCGGAGGCCGGCAGTGTCTTCCGCGAGCGTCTCTCCAGGGCCGGGGGCTTTTTTGCTACTAAGCCTAAATCCATGAAATTTCCGAAGTATCAACGCATTGTTTAATAATGCTCTATAGAGTATTTAAACGGCTTATGCTTTATAGATATTTATATATATATATACTTTAATTACCTTATTTCTTGTTTAAATGCATATTTTACACATTTTATTTTAACTACTCACCATTTTATGACTTTTAACATTATACATCTGAAAACTAAATATATTACTTAAAATTCTCTTTTCGTATGAAAAATTTAAAAACAGGGATCTACACACAGTCCTACGTTACATTCCTTGAACTCGTAATAACTCATTTGCCGTTTTGGAGGATTTTTCCGGGAATGTGAACAAACGAAGCATCGTGGTCTCGTTTTCTTATCAGTCTCTTCTGAACAAAGTTTTGGAAAATGTCTTTCAGTTAATCTTTCAGAATCAATATCAGAATATCAAAATTTCAGAATCAATATCTGAAATATTTTGCATCATTTCTGCTATTTCATGCTCTGTTAAACATTTTCGACGCTTCGACATTGAAACGGTAAAAACAGAAAAAACAGAAAGAATTCACGTCTAACAAGATCTAATTATTTTCTAAAAAACTGAACTGTAAACCGAAATACTCAACGCTTTAGCGCATATAAAACTTTCTACTTACAATAAACAACTACCACGTGCGAATAATAAAGTGCGATTTAAAGAGACGTCATAAATCACGCCATTCGGAAACATTTAGTTCCCCGTTTGTTTATGTAATCAAAAACACGTGTATATGAGTCATGCTTCTCTCATTTCGAGTAGAAGCTCTAATGTACATGTATCTGAAACCATATGGACATACAGTGCCATCTTGTGGCAGAAATTATAGTTTGAAAAACGTTCCAAGGTACTGGCACAAATACGTGACAGTCGGTAGAAAACGCAACAATGCTCTGGCACGCCTGCGTGTCGGCCGGTAGATAAGTGTGTTCGTTGCTGGCACGTATACGTGACAGTCGGCGCGAAGGGGATGTGAAGCTTTAGCAGCGTTGGTATTTTCTCAATCCTTTTCGCATGCTATTGTAGCGTAAGTGGAAGCACACTCGATGCGTATTGGAAGGTCCAGAGTTCGAATTCTGGCGAGTGTACTGCGGATTTCTTCAGTTGTCTGATATCGAAAAATCATAAATGACTCTACAATTCTACAAAAATACACTCTACAAAAGATGATAGACAATAATTCGTCACCACCAGAATTTGGCGAATGAGTTCCCTCATCCCCAGTCGCA